TCAGGCTCCCTTCCTCTTACTTCTTCTTACCCTCTCAGTACCATGTTACCCTCGGCGAGCGCTGCCTCCAAGCTGCTCTTCAAATTCAGCTCCTCACTTACAGTCCATCATGAAGGATAGATGCTTGAACGTTTGAAGTGGAAGAGGAAGAAAGGAGGAGCCTACTGGGTTATTTTCAATTCAGCTTTCAGAGCCTTCCATCAACTGCATGACTTTTTTTTTTTTTCCTCCAAATTCACCTCTAGCCCTTCAACCCACACCCAGGTGGTGAATAGGTTTAGTGCCCCTTCACCTGCCTTGTTCGGCCTCTCTGATTTGCTTGTACTGTGGCCCTCACATCTCGCAGACTTCATGGATTTCTTTCTTTTCTTTTTTTTTTCTTAAGATCTGGCCTAAAATGCATCTCCTGCTAAAAAATCTTGCCACTCATCTTTCAATGTTTAGTTCTAGATGGAACTAAATGGAAATGGTCAAGCCCAGTGTAACTCCCAATAATACTTCCCTCCCTTGCATTGTGGACCCTTATCTCTATGGCATTCCTTCTCACAAAGCCCCACAAGCTTCCTATAAAATGCAACTAGTACCCGTTCGGTGTGTGTGATACACGGCATTAATGTTCCAGGCAATTCCTGTCCCCACTGTGAGAGGATTATGCATCCCTGACCTACTGGCATCAAGCTTGGCAACATAATTTGCTTTGACCAATGGAATGAGGGGATGTGACTTGTGCCACTTTGAGCGGAGGTTCTAAGCACTGCCACGTCATTCTGCCACGTTCCTTTTCCCTTAGCCATGTGAGCAGCACGCCTCATATAGAAGTTGCTTTTTCAGCCTGGGTCTCAAAATGAAGAGGAAATGGGGCAGAGTTAGACCTTAAGGTCCGTGTACACGAGTGAGAGATAAACCTTGGTTGTAAGCCTCTGATACAGCTTGTTACGACAACATAATTTAGCCTAATCTTAGTGATAAAGTGCGTAATAGGTTCAGGTTTTATAATGGTGGCTTTACACGAGGTGTCCCATTCTGTCCTCCAACCAGCCTGCTGGGTTAGTTTTCCTTTCTCCATTCGACTGACGGACAATATTCAAAGAACTTTACTCAAATTCTGAAAGGTAAGAGGTGACAGAATAGATGAAATCAGGTCTTCTGCAACAAATTCACAGCTCTTTCCACTCTACCGTGTGTTAAGGGTTGAATTGTGTTCCCCCAAACCATGTTGACGTTCTATCCCATAGTACTGGTGACTGTGACCTTATTTGGAACCAAGGTCTTTGCAGACGTATTCAAGTTAAAATGAAGTCATTAGGATGGGCCCTAATCCAATATAACTGGTGTCCCTGTAAGAAGAGAAGAGACACAGAGATACACAGGGAGAACACCATGAGACAACAGAGGCAGAGACTAGAGTAAGACATCAATGCATCTACGGGCCAGGGAATATCAAGGATTGCTGGCAACACTAGAAGCTAAGAGAAAATCATGAAAGAGATTCTCCCCTGGAGTTTCCCAAGAGAGCATGGCTCTGCCAACACCTTGATTTCCGACCACCAGCCTCCAGAACTCCAAGGTCAAGGTGCCAGCAGGTTTCACCTCTGGTGAGGCCTCTCTCCTTGGCTTGCAGATGGTGCCTTCTCACCGTTTCCTCACATGGCCTTTTCTCTGAGGACATTTCTTCTTGGTGTCTCTTCCTCTTTTGAAAGGACATCAGTCAGATTGGATTGGGCCCTCTTTGACAGCCTCCCTTCAACTTACTCACCTCTTTAAAGACTCTATCTTTACAGTCTTTACTGTATACATTACATGCTGAGCTACTTGGGGTTGGGACTTCAACACATAAATTCTGGAGGGAAACAATTGAGCCCTTTTCATTCATCTCAGAGTATCAGTAGGTACCTGATGTGTCTCTCCTTCTCAACTTGACTGTGGGCTCCCCGGATGAAAGACCCTGTTTTAAGATTCTGTGCATCCCCAGCAATCAGTTGTTTGATGGATCTTCTTGGTCACTTTTGAGATTTTGTTCACAGTTGTCCTGATGTCAGTGTATATTTTGAAGGAGAAAAAAAAAAAATCAGCTGCAGGGGCTTCATGTCAATGACTGAGCTAGATGATTTCCCAGGTTCCTTATGCATCCTGCGACTGTTCAGTCCCCATCACTGTCCATGTGGCTTCCCAAAAAATTCTCCTCTCTAGAATTTCAGTCATTTGTTTTGTTTCTTATATTTAGGCCTCCCGAGAGTTGCCAGTCGTAACATTTTCTAATTCCCTACGCACTGCTCATTTTCATGTCTGCATCTGGCAGCACCTGAGATCCTGGCCTAACTTGGGACCTGGAAGCTGAGGAAACAGGCTCAGGGCACTGCACTGGGCTGCCCGAAGTTGTCCGACACCATCCTGACCCCGAGAGGACTCCAGCCAAGTTTTTCCAGCTCCAAGGCCAATAACCTAGTATTCCTCATTATGCAAAGATAAGAACACCAAAGGCTTTATGTCTTGTGAGCAGTAATTCATGTAATGAAGTGAGATCATAGTCTCTCTTAGGAATTCCGATGACCCTTATAACAGTATATCTTTTAGTACCAAAAGGATCCAGCGTGCTTCTTTTGTCGATTCATAAAATGCTCAAATGCTCAAACCATATGTTTAAGTACAATTCCCAACGGCTATATCCTTCCTTAAATGAAAACAGAGGAATTTTTCAACATCAAGTGGAAAACTAAGCATGGCTATTGGGAGGAAAAGTCTAAATGTAGCCCTGAGTCAGTTCCAGGGCAATGGAGATGATACCAGCTTCATGGTCTAGCACCTCCCGGCCCCCAGTCCGGCTCCAAGCCATACTTTCCCTCAGTAGGTACGATACAAACCCAAAGACATGTGCGCATGAACATGAGCCATTCTGTGTACAATATTGCTTCCATAGGGGCGCCTGGGTAGTGCAGTCGGTTAGGCATCCGACTCTTGGTTTCAGCTCAGGTGGCAATCTCAGGGTCATGAGATCGAGCCCCATGTGGGGCTCCGCACTCGGTGCGGAGTCTGCTTGAGATTCTCTCTCCTTCTCCCTCTGCCCCTCCCGCTCATGCTCTCTCTCTCTCAAATAAATAAATACATCTTTTAAAAAATATCGCTTCTATAAAAGAGAGAAAGCCAACTTAAGTAAGCCTTTCAAATAATACATCTTACCATCTAAAAATATTCAGGCAGAATGCATATGGAGCTCTTGTGGCTTCCTCAGGCTAGCCTCAGTTTGACCATGAAGGTGAGATCATTGCCAGACACTCATGGGCTCTGCCTGTCCCACCATGGAAAGGGCTCTTCCATCATGAGTAGACAAGTGAAAACACCCCTAGCCTGAGAAGAAAGTGTGTCACCGCGTGACTGACGCTCTGTGCCATTTATTCCTTGTGCCAATATCAGGAATGTGGGTCTGACAATCAAAAGGCCATGCCACTGGCTTGGTTTCTCTGTGGAGGCTCTCATGGTCCCCTTTTACTCACTGGAGCCCGGCTTTCTCAAACGGATTTTGTTCATTTTTCCACTGGGAACGGAGAAAACTGCACGTGGCACTTTATGAATTGGGTCTCCCAGCCAGAGCTCTGAAAGACAACTGGAGTGGGGGTGGTCTGGGGGTGCGAAACTCCACGGGACAGAACTGAAGTCAGGCTGTGACACACAATAACATCTGTGTGTGACCCAGCAGCCTGCGAACCAGCTCCCTGCAAGGGGAGAAGCATGCCAAGTGAGGACGAGAGGACTTTTGTTCATCTTCTTTATCTTACAGAGGCTGCTTGTTTATTTGTTGGGGGAAATTAAAAAATAAGCAAGTGAATTCTTTGCCTTTGTGCCGTCTGGGTTTTTTTCTCCCCATGCTCTCATTTCTAATTCTCCAAAGTATCTCCCCCACCTTAATTTTACAGCATTTTTATGTACACATGCATCCAGTACCCACGCATGAAGTCAGAGATATCAATTTGTCTTTCTAGACTCCTTTGGGTTTGCCTCTGTGTGGAGATCCATAATGAGATCCAAGAGTTCTCACCCTCTTCCTGTTAAGATAATTTATAGAGTTTTCCCTGTGCTCAGAGCACGGAGCTAAGTCCTGCATAAGCAGCAATAACAAGCGCATTCTTAACAGCCTCCCTGGACAGTTTGCTAAATTCTTTCTGAGAGCCTCTTGCTGGCCCTTACAAAGGTTAGCTAAAAAACAAACTGGAAGCTGGGAATCCAACTGTGAGAGCAGAAAGTATGTTCTATAGCACAGAGAGAGGACTGAATTTGTGGAATCACATTTGGCGTTCTGGCGATCCCTGATGAAGATCATTTTTAGGCAAAAATCAGCTTCCCAAACCCAAGCGTGCTCTGCTTGGCTGGGGTTTTGTTTTGTTTTGTTTTGTTTTGTTTTGTTTTGTTTTGTTTTGTTTTAACAGATACAAAAAGTTAAAGATGGGAATCTGAACTACAAAACAATTTTTTTTCTCCTCCATGTCATTTTACTTGGCCCAAGAAGGCAAAAGAAGGGCAAGTGGCATTGCGAAGTAATACTTCAGGATATGACCTACAAATTCTCTCCACGCAAGCCAGGAATCCCATTCGTAATTTTCATAGTCTAGCACATTGATAAACCAGCCAAAACACCTCCAGGATGACAGATGACTGCCGAGCAAAGGGACAGAAGGAATTCGGTACAAATCCACGAAGACCTGTTGACTTTTTAGCTTGAACGTAGAAAGTACGGAGTTAACTAGAATTTTTATTTGTGACACAAATAAGGACTTTTAACATCATCTATTCGTGTAGTTCTCTGTTCTCCTCACCCAAACAGGTCCTTGAGATAACTTTTGGAGAACAGCACTACTGTGAAAAAGAAGTCTCAGCCAAGAACTTTGGTGTCCCAAAGAGCTAGGGAAACCCAAACGGTGAAAGCAGACTTCATTGCCAGGAGCTGTTCCCCGTTGGACTCCAGTCCCCGCCCCCCCACACCACCCAGAAGAGGACACAGTACTCACCAGTCATTAGGGTGTAGTAATTGGGGTAAGAGAGACTGGGGAAGTCGGGGGTCAAGTAATCCACTTTTACTCCCCGGCTCACGATCTCTTTGAAACCAGGCAAGGACTCCAGGGCCTCATCACTGATGTAGTCTGAGCGAAAACCATCCAGCAGAAACACCAGAAGCTTCCGGCCGGCAGCGGCTGGCTGCGCCAGGCCGAGCGCGAGCACCAGCAGGAGGGCCCTGAGCTTCACTGCCATACTGCCAGGAGCCCGCCCGCCGGGCTGTGCCAGCCCTCCTCTTGCAAAGACCGAGGATGGAGAATCTGGAGCTATTCTCTCTTCCAGGGGCTGGACCTTGACTGCTGGCCTTCCTGAGCCAAGTTCACTTTCAGAATTTAAAGGTACAGCACCCCCTTTTAAAAACATCTATGCTCATCCTTTACTAGAAAGTCCGGAGTCCAACTCCTTCGGAGTAGCCGGGTCCCCCACACAACCCAGAATCAACACCAGGGGAGACAGGGCAATCTTATTATTTTGGGTGAGTGTTCCAGAAATACAGGCACCCACAGAGAGGTAGAATTTTAGAAGATGACGGAAGCCCACACTAACTTTGCTGTCGGGCTAACCAAAGGGGTGGGGCCCAAGAAAAGGACAATCTTAATTTGCTGCTATCCCGCGCCTCTGCCCAATTTAAACTCTCCGACTGACCTTTTCACTTCAAATTTAGTAACACGAACCTCTTCATCCCGGATAGAAACAAGAGATGATAAAATTAGGTGGGCACATTTGTGAACTTTTCAGCAGTGTCTCTGTCACCATCACATTTAAAGGCAAATTAGTTGTCTAGGTCTTAGCCACTTATTTTTTTTCCCTATGCATCTATCTACAGTGTTTATTGTCCTGTTTTTCAAGTTGCTGGTGTCCAAACCCATCTGCAGGAGGAGGTGGTTCTCGCCCTTTGGGGGAGGGGCGGCCTGGGCTCACTTGGGGAAAGGTTAAGGACTCCGAATTTTAAGGATGAGCATACATGGCGTATCCACTTTCCTCTGCTTCACTCCTCATCTGCCTCAACAACCTGAGCAGATTACATCTCCCTGAGTCCACAGGTCCTCAGAGGCTCGCGAAGGCCGCACTGGCACTGCTGGGACGTGTCTGGGTGGGGACACTGGTGATGTGGCCTATCTTGTTTTATGATGATCTTATTGTTTTATGATCATGTGTATACAATTTCTCTAAAGTTTTAGGTCAATAACTTATTGTAAATAAGCCCCTTTAATATACATACTAACATACGAGAAAAGAAAGAAACATATAGGATAGAATTCAAACCAAATCCCAGCATTGCCTACAGTAAGACTCCTCCTAATCTTTTACCTTCTGGCCTGGGAAAGATTGGAAATAAAAGCTAAAAGACAATAGATCAGAAAATGTGGTTAATATTAACTGCCCCAGGTCTTGTGGTCCAAAGTCTATGTGTTTGTTATCTGGAGGATCTTGTTTGGAAGTGGTTATCAGCACCTAATACTTCAGAATGAGCACTTCTTGCTACTTGTTTTTCGAAGGTTGACAATGCTATAAGGTCATTTGTCACAGTGGTTTAACCCAGACAATGCAGAAAAACAGAAAATCTCCTCCAGGATCTGGAACCACCTTTGTGTCGAGAGCTGTTCCAGGTCTTGCTAGTGACATGCATGAGCTCTCAGGAGTGTGTTGCCCAGATCTGTCAGCACTCTGGGGCCTCGCCTCCATGGAGAGGAAGATGACGTGGAAGAAAAGAACCGAAGGCTTGCAGGCAGAAGACAGGATTCCATGGCCTGGCTTCTGGCATTATGCAGCTGTGTGATTCTGAGAAAGTTGCCTTTCCGTGCGTCAGGTTTCTCCTCTGAAAAGTGACAGAAGCTTCCAGGTCCTTCCCAGCTAAGGACCTGGATAGTCATTTTTCCAAAGAAGACATCCAGATGGCCAACAGGTACATAAAAAGATGCTCAATGCCACTCACCATCAGAGAAATGCAAATCAAAACCACAATGAGCTATCACCTCACACCTGTCAGAATGGCTAGCCCCAGAAAGATGAAAAATAACAAGCGTTGGTGAGGATATACAGAAGGAAATAAAATCACTTTCCCAAAGAGCTAGCTGCGTCCCCGTGTTTACTGCAGTATTATTCACAATAACCAATAGATGGAAACAACCTAAGGGTCCATCGACAGATGAACGGATAAAGTAGACGTGGTGTGTGTATATATATATACAATAGGATATTATTTAGCCATGAGAAAGAAGGAAATCCTGCCACTTGCAACAATATGGATGCACCTTGAGGGCGTTTTGCTAAGCAAAGTAAGTCAGACAGAGAAAGACAGATACTTGTATGTTCTCACTTGTGTGTGGGATCTAAAAAAAAAAACCAAAACCATAGAAACAGAGAGTAGAACGGTGGTAGCCGGGGGTTGAGGGGTGGGGGAAATGGGGAGATGTTGGATACAAACTGCCAGTTGTGAGATATATAAGTTCCAGGACCTAAGGTACAGTATGGTGACTATATTTAATCATATACTTGAAAGTTGTAAAGAGAGTACATCTTCAGTGTTATCACCACACACACACACACACAAAACCCAAAACAGTAATTATGTAAGGTGATGGAGGTGTTAACTAACCTTATTAGGATAATCATTTTGTAATATATCTATGTGTATTGAATCAAAGAGAGAGAGAGAGAGAGAGAGCGTGCTCTAGCAAGTTAAAGGTGAAAAGGAGTCCAAGGCGGTATTAGAGAAAGGGCATACAATAATCATTCTATTTGTTCCCACCAGAAAAGTAGTCTTTGTGCACTTTTTAAATGAAAAAGTTCTCCAAGAACAGACTCTCTCTCTAAAAGGCAGCTGACTAAGCGGGAGGACACGTGTGGCTAAGTGGAACATCTAGAAATTATTAGCCTGACTCCTCATCTCACGCGTTGGCACTACCTTGCAGTCTCAAGGTCAGGGGCAGGGATCCTCTCTTGACTACTGTCAGCAGCTCCCGAGTGACAACCACTGTTAGCCTTTGGACCTGGCCCCAGACTCACGCCTACTGCGGTGAACCCCCCGGGCTCACCTCTCCAGAGTACAGATGAGGGCTGGACCTACCCCACCAAAATCCGCATCAGTAAGACTGAGTTAACCTACGGCTTTCAAAGTTCCTCATTTGATTCTGGTCAAAGGCCAGGCTCAGAAAACACCGCTGACAGTGCCAAGCAGCTGCAGACAAAGCTGAGCACTGTCGGGACATCATCAGAGTTTGCATGTTAGAAAACAGGCTCTGGAGGTCGTGTGGGGCAGTAACAGTGTTGGTGCAAGCAAGGATGACAATACCCGCCCTCCTTGGTATTAAGAACTTAAATGCAATCATTCATTTAGACCTTCTGATAATTTTATTAGGTGGGTATTTAGACCTCTGCGATACAAAGGAAATGGAAGGCTCAGAGACGCCTAACGCCAAATAGCCCGAAGGGTCAGGATGGAAATTCAAGCCCAGCTCTCTTTTAGAGTCCCATATTTTGGGGGGAATACATTCAATTTTTGCAATTAGGGAGAGGAATCAAAGCCTGTGTAAAAGAAAAAAAGAATAAATCCTAAGTAGCTTTCATTTATCTTGATTGAAGTGAGGGGGGAAGTAGAAAATCACCATTAGGACACTACAGACATAACTGTCACAGGCAACAGCCACTGATGGAGGCTAAGCTTCGTGGAATTAAGTAAGGAGGTGATCTGGGGCGCCTGGGTGGCTCAGTCGTTCAGTGTCTGCCTTCGGCTCAGGTCATGATCCCGGGGTCCTGGGATCGAGCCCCGCATCGGGCTCCCTGCTCGGTGGGGAGCCTGCTTCTCCCTCTCCCACTCCCCCTGCTTGTGTTCCCTCTCTCGCTGTGTCTCTCTCTGTCAAATACATAAATAAAATCTTTAAAAAAAAAAAAAAGTAAGGAAGTGATCAAAAGAACGAAAGGACAGGGCATGTCAAAGGGACATGGGAGCCAAGCTGAAAGGGCTCCCAGTGGCCAAATCCAGAACAACCTAAATCATTAACTAAGCAATGCAATATTGGCATATTGACCCAAAGTACAAAATAACTATGCAAGTCCATACTGTATAAATGAATAATTGAATAAACAAATAAATAGGTGAGAAGTGACAAATATTCCTTACAGAAGAATTTCAAACAATACCCGTTGATACCCTCACTCCAGGACGTGGAACTTGATCCCTACTTCCTCCCCATCAAGGTTAGGCCAGACCTAGAGACTCAATTCCAAAGGACAGAATAGGGAAAGGGAAAAGTAACTTTGCGGTGGAGAAATCTGGCAAACCCAACATTACCCGAGTGATGGAGGTTAATATCACCAGTGATGTCATGGGGACATCATGTACCCCCCCGCCATCTCATACAATGAGACAGGCACTTCGCTCTGCAAGGTGTTCTTTCCAAAAACCCATAACCCCAATCTAATCGTGAGCAGAACACCAGACAAACCCAGGTTGGGGGATTGTCTGCAGGATAACTATCAAGTACTCCTTAAGAATGTCAAGGTCATGAAAAAGAAGGGAAGACCAAGACACGGGTCACAAAACAGAGGTAGTTGAGGCAACGTGACAACTAACTGCAATACAACCTAGGACCCTGGATGGGACCCTGGAACAGAAAGAGACATTAAGGGAAAAGGGGCACATCCAAATAAAGTCGTTTAGTTAATGCTTCTGTACCAACATTAGGTTTGATAACTGTACTGTGGACACATAACAATGCTAACCTTAGGCGAAGTTAGGTGAAGGGCTTATGGGAACACTCTACGTTATTTCTGCAACTTTTCAGTAAGTCTAAAATTTTTTCAAAATAAAAAGTTAAAAAAATTAAATTGAAACTAGAAGACTGGTCATCAATAACAGGAATCTTGGGAAGATAAAAGTGCTTTTGAGAACACAGAACAATGGAGTCCCAACTGCCCTTCGTTTGGGAGCTGGGAGTGAAGGTTACCACAAATACATGCATACCGACTCTGCATCTTGTCATGGTAACACTTCTAAGTCTTCTTACTGAAACAGGCAAGAAGATTGTCTATAGCATCAAAAGATTTGTTTCAGTGGTTCCAAAAAGAGGAAGCTTATAACCCTGTGGCCAAAAAAAGTGGGCTAAGAAAAATAATCGTTCTGCAACACACTAGTGTGCAGACACTGGTACTACACCCCCACTGATCCCTAGAGGAGCTCTCACACACCTGTTTGTGCAAGG